AAGATCTGTGGAAGGAGGAATAGAGGAAGACATTGAGCGAAGATTCTTGACAGTCTTGTTGCATGGCATGGAGGTGTGTCGGCACACGAACTGATACATATGTAGGAGATAGCGAATTGTGGAGAGGCATGATCGCCGACGCCAGTCGGCAAGGCACCTGATGATGATGATGATGATGCTAGTGGATACGCTGAGACTGCAGTTTGTGTCAGTTCTCTTCATAAAGGTCAGTGACGAACTTTCTGAGTGGTTTTCTTAGGCACAGAAACAGAGCAACTGTGGGACGACCTGGTTTCTAGGATGTTGGAACTTTAATTACCCAATGAAACCAGGGCCTGGTTTATGTAACTACAGAAAATTGTAATATGATAAATTAAAATAATATTTCCTTGTCTTGTTTTCAAGTATAAACAGCAGTATGCTCAGTTTATATCATGATTTTTCTGTTTTGTGCCTATCTGGCTATCAGTTTTACATCTAAAAAAAAAGCTCGCCTTTTCTATTGCAAAAAGAATTCCTAGCAATAAAGACAGATAAGTAAAATGGAACTACCTAGGCCCTTAACAGATAATGTTTTTGGAGCATGAGGTTTTGTCTTTATCTTTTATTCCATACCATGCTTTTCTGGTCATAGCGTCTACCCACAACCTTGCGTCTCATGTACAGTCAATCGTTTTTAGTACATATGTTCTGCCATACTAAGATGCCAAACTGTCCAGCCAACACCTTCTCTCTTGATCTACTTCTGTCTCTTTTGGAATGGTAGAGTATTACATGGGTCTAGGTGCTCAGTTCTGAACCAACTGAAAATATTGTTTATTTATTTGTTAATTTGTTCTCTTTCTTTTGCACCTTCCTATTGTCATGATATACTCCAGTTTCCCCATTTTCCTTCTTTTGTCAATATCTGCTTTTGTGCCGGCGTCGCAGCTTATCAGATGATCAGCAGCTGAGCTAGGGTGAGCTTGGTTGCTTGATATGTAGTGATGTTATGCAGTCTCAAGGTGCTAGTGACTCCTTTAATCTATCTTCTTCTCGGTCTTCCCCTACCTCCTGGTGTTTTGGTTTTCAGGTTTTTCTAATGCTAGTAAATCGTTATTTTTTTACCTAATTTCGTTCAAGACATCTACATTATATTTTAAATCTGTCCAAGATGACAATCCATTTATTTAATAAAATTGGTTATTCTTTTATTTCTGTTTCAACAAATTAATGGCTAATCAACAATTTTTTCAAACTAATAAAACAGGCACAAGAAAAGCAATTAATACACTTACTATTCTTGGTGAAAGTAATGATTTTCAACACTTTTCCATATTTGGTAAACAACTGTGGAGATTGTAAATAAATGTTATTCATGAATAATTTTTTTTTGAGTTTCTTAGTAACATTTAAATATCACATGCACTTTTAACTTCTTATTTTTCTCATGTGAATTAGCTAGCATGTCGGCATCTATGGTTTAGGTGTTGCAAACGTGCTGGGGTGCCAGATTCGATCCAAGTAGAAGCTGATTTGCGTTGGTTTTGGCAGTGGCACAGAGGGATTTAACTATTCAGAAGCAATGGCAAACTACTAAACATAAAATTTGCCTAGAAAACCACAACAGCCAAAAAAATGTTGGTGTTGGTTCTGCAATGTCCTGTAGAGGATTCGTAACCAACACGGCTAGCATATAACAGCAGTATTTCTTCCATCTACACTGAATTTGTTGGACAGAATTTGACAACCCTTTCACTGCAAGAAGCTGCAAAACTGATACTTCAGGTTCCATCATATTCTTTGTAGATGTTTGACTTATCTATAGTGACCTGTTTACAAGACACATATCTGATTTCTGAAACATCAGCACAGATCATTCAACCAGCTTTTCCCTGTGGGTTCCAGGCCTCAGTTTGAGGGAAGCAAGAATATATCCCACAGCTTCTCTAACAAACATGTCCTAAAAGCTGATTAACTAGGAGTGCTTCCTTTGATGTCAGAGCTTATCTGCCTGAGAGGAAAGGAACCAACATTTAGCAAACAAATAAGTTAGATCTGTAAAACCACACGGGAAAGGAAAATGTTCTATTACATAGATGCTTGTCCAACAACACAACAAATAATATATTCATCTGATAGAGAATGTCCAGGGATACTTGTCCAACACAACAAATAATATATTCACCTGATAGAGAATGTCCAGGGATACTTGTCCAACACAACAAATTATATATTCATCTGATAGAGAATGTCCAGGGATACTTGTCCAACAACACAACAAATAATATATTCATCTGATAGAGAATGTCCAGGGATACTTGTCCAACACAACAAATAATATATTCACCTAAAAGAGGATGTCCAGGGATACTTGTCCAACACAACAAATAATATATTCACCTGATAGAGAATGTCCAGGGATACTTGTCCAACAACACAACAAATTATATATTCATCTGATAGAGAATGTCCAGAGATACTTGTCCAACACAACAAATAATATATTCATCTGATAGAGAATGTCCAGGGATACTTGTCCAACAACACAACAAATAATATATTCACCTGATAGAGAATGTCCAGGGATACTTGTCCAACACAACAAATAATATATTCATCTGATAGAGAATGTCCAGGGACACTTGTCCAACAACACAACAAATAATATATTCACCTGATAGAGAATGTCCAGGAATACTTGTCCAACACAACAAATAATATATTCACCTGATAGAGAATGTCCAGGGATACTTGTCCAAAAACACAACAAATAATATATTCATCTGATAGAGGATGTCCAGGGATACTTGTCCAACACAACAAATAATATATTCATCTGATAGAGAATGTCCAGGGATACTTGTCCAACAACACAACAAATAATATATTCATCTGATAGAGAATGTCCAGGGATACTTGTCCAACAACACAACAAATAATATATTCATCTGATAGAGAATGTCCAGGGATACTTGTCCAACACAACAAATAATATATTTACCTGATAGAGAATGTCCAGGGACACTTGTCCAACAACACAACAAATAATATATTCACCTGATAGAGAATGTCCAGGGATACTTGTCCAACACAACAAATAATATATTCACCTGATAGAGAATGTCCAGGGATACTTGTCCAAAAACACAACAAATAATATATTCATCTGATAGAGGATGTCCAGGGATACTTGTCCAACACAACAAATAATATATTCATCTGATAGAGAATGTCCAGGGATACTTGTCCAACAACACAACAAATAATATATTCATCTGATAGAGAATGTCCAGGGATACTTGTCCAACAACACAACAAATAATATATTCACCTGATAGAGAATGTCCAGGGATACTTGTCCAACAACACAACAAATAATATATTCATCTGATAGAGAATGTCCAGGGATACTTGTCCAACAACACAACAAATAATATATTCACCTGATAGAGAATGTCCAGGGATACTTGTCCAACACAACAAATAATATATTCACCTGATAGAGAATGTCCAGGGACACTTGTCCAACACAACAAATAATATATTCATCTGATAGAGAATGTCCAGGGATACTTGTCCAACAACACAACAAATAATATATTCACCTGATAGAGGATGTCCAGGGAGATTGGGAAGTAGGCGTGGTCAACGATAATTCTCAGGATTGTTGGTTGTTCGTCCGATGCCATGACTACGTTTGCTGCCTGTAATGCTGCTTGTGCATTGACATTCTGTAGAGGACAATCCCAACACTTGGTCAACAAATTAGTTAGTTAGTCGTTACGGTTCCGGCATCACAGCAAACGAGCTTGGCCCATAATTGCTCAACCGCCTATGCCAGTGATTGCAGTTAAAAACTGAGTCAGATATGTTGGATACTTCAAGTGAATGCCGTAGCCATACAAAGTGTCTTCAGTCAGCAAAAAACACACGATTTGATCTGGCAAACCATAAGGTGCATGCCTCATTGAACACAGTGCGAGACCCGGCGTCATCGCTGAAAATCAACTTCATTCAATGAGTAGCTGGGGGATGAGTAGATTAAAACTATTCCTGACTATTCTCCACATGTCCTCGGCCAAGTTGCAGCCACGGCCAGCAAATAAATAGCAACTATAGCACACGCCTTGTCCCAGGAACACAACAAAGAAAAATATATCACCAATCATTGCCATTATGTACGAAGCTTTACCAAATATGACTCCCTTTTGCTTTCATCTTCCTCATTTATTTTCACAACTTTGGGGATGATGGGAGTTTCATTAACAACTGTCATTAGTGCTTGTATTTACAACTCTTGTGATACAGGCAGAAGGGACTTTGAGCCAGAGGGTTTACAGCCACGAATGCAGTTACATATAATGTGTAGGTTAAGGTTTTATCAAGACACTTCTCCATGGTCGTCCAAGAAACGGGTTTCTTACTGAAGGCTTGGTTATAGTAGGTAGGATAAGCGTTTTCTTCAAAGTCAAAGCTTTAAGTAAGAGAACTGAACAAGTTCCAGTGGACCAAGAGGTGAAAATAAAGATGATCTCATTGGATAGGACACAAGTTGAGAAAACCTGAGAACAATATAACTAGAATGTCTCTGCTCTGGAACCCACAGGGGCATACAAATAAATGTAAAAACAAAAACACATGGAGAAGGGAGCTTGAGAGTGAAGTAAAAATATGGGGAGGGCATGGGGTGAGCTACACGCAATAGCAAAGGATAGAACAACTTGGCGTGAGTTGGTTGATGGCCTATGCTGCACTGGGGGACAGCAGGCAAAAGAAGAGTTCATCTGCCTGATGGGCGAGAAACCAACAATCTGCATCCAGTAAGCCAGATCTCTAAAATACATGTGCATGCAACAATCAAGTTGGAACAACACCACCAAAGTCCAGGCATGGACAAACCACCACTGTCTGCCAAGTCCACAGCTGGAAAATGAATAAAAAGAAGAAATCAAATATATCGATCATACAATGTGGCACTCGGGAAATTATTAAAACAAGATTTCAACACAATCTCTGACCTGTGCAGCATGAGACGGATCAGTTTTGAGCTCCCTGTGATTGGAGAACTGAACGTAGACTGGCTTGAGGCGAACTTGCGCTGGATTGGTTAGAAAATAGTTCACCATGGCAACAGCACTAGCTTCATCTTCAAACTCCAGGAAAGCCTGAGAAAGACAGCCAATGATGTCTATTAAGTGACTCCAAGGAAGAGTTAGGGAACAGTCATTTATAACATTCCAGTCCTGTTCATGTTTCCCAGCTCATCTACACACTGCCTGTCTTTTCATTCATATTTTATCAGACTGTTCTATGTCAGAGGGGTGTCACGTTGTCTTGCCTCCAATTACATCAGTGCCGATGTCACGTGTTCTATACTACACGACGACACAGCTTTCAACTACCCTGATCATGTTGAACTGGCCCTAACCCAAACACCCCTACCCACAGCCTGAGCCTAGGTCCCATGAGAGACTCTTTTTTAATGAAGCAGTACAACGTAACACCTCTTTGACCTAGATCGGACTGAGAAAGTGTGTAGATGGGCCGGGAAATGTGAACAGGTCCTATTTTTTTCAGCTAGAAAGATTTATGGAAAGAGAGATAGAGAAAGAAAATACAAGAAGATTTTTCCTTCCTAATCCTTACTCACTTAGCGTTCACCAGCTGTAAATTGTGACAGAAAGTTCTAGCCGTTTATCCACATCTTGACTTTGGTCTTGTTCCAGGGCTTGAATTTTGCATGCACATCTGTTATACAGATCTGACTTATTTTTGTGTGTGCTGACTGTTGGTTCCTCAATTCTCAGGCAGACACACTCTGACTTCAGATGCAAATCCCCTAATTAGTTGCCTTGTATGACATGCTTGTTAGGAAGGCAGTTGGTTTATTCTGTTTTTTTCCCCAAGAATGGGACCCTGGAACCCACACAGGTAAAAAGATTTTTGATAGCCTTTTGTGGCGACATGGTCAGATTTCAGCATTGAAATGAAACAGGCTGTTGGACATCTCAAGCTGTGGATAGGTATGATCCCCCATGTCAGCTGGCCAGGTATTTGATGATGTGATAATGCTGCTGTTGGGCTTGCTCTACTTTCTGGACATTTTACATGTCTTAATCAATCTGTAAAGTCTGGACACATTCAAAACACGACAATAACGTTGATATCGTTTATTGTAGCACAGCAATAAGTCATTCCGTCGACGTCCATAGCTCTCCCTAGTCGTTGACACACGCTCACAACTGACTACCATAAAAAGATTACAGTTAAACAATTTATGCAGTTACCTGCAGTCAGAACGTTCCATTCACTTGGTATGTCATTTAGAATCAGTTCTCCTCGGACACTCAATCTTTCCAAACAACGTTCCTCCAGTTCACAATTATGTTCACCTCAGTCGTACCATCAAACAACCTACCTCCCACACAGTCAAAACACAACTGACTCTATCTTGTCTCTCCATTCAAACGTTCGTTCAAATCCCATGCTTTTCCTTTACCCCTGTTCACAGACCCCGGGATCTTGGGGGACACATGTTTTTCCCCATGTCTCTTGTTTCCCTGGCCCTCCGACCTTGTCCCCTCAATTGGGAAACTCTAGTTTCCCTGGGAATTCACCTCTATTCAGCTGATGATGATGATGATGATGAACATTTCTGTACTATATGTAGCACGTTTTTAGTTAGATGGAAGTCGTGAACTGGTTAAAGACTATAGATGAAAACAATTGTTGCTTCTCAGACATCTTGTCAGAAGGAATGGACTTGAGAACTTTGTGACATCTGGTGTTTGATGGAAGGAGAGCAAAAGGAAAGCAAAGAGGTAAATATGTGGATGATTTAGCCATAGGATGGGAGTGAGATAAGCACACTGACCTGATCCATGACTGTGAAACTTTGCAGTTTACACTTATCGGCACAGCACATGATGATAATGATGATGATGATGACATATCACTTTCTCATCTCACTGCCATCATATCACTAAATATTACCTCTGCAGATAAATCCTTACAAAAGGAAGAAAGTGGTCCCATGAAGTGTGAAGTGTTAGGCCTTTATACCATTTGTGCCAACAGTAAGTTGTAATTCTGTTGTGAGCTCATTAGTGTTGGCACTTCTGACAGCTGCCTTATGAACTTTTACTTTGCGTGTGCAAGCTTCAAGATCTTGCTGGGGCTTACAAGGTTTTCACTAGCTTTTAATTTGGACAGAGCCCTCATGTGAGTTCTAGGTCTCCATTTGGGAAAGGATCAGGCAGAACTAGTCTCACCGTGTCCCTATCTGGCATCTTGTAAAACAAGGCTATTGAACGGCAGCCCACAAACCAAATATGGCCTGCAGAGACCTAGCAAGTAAAAATAAGTAAAAAACGTAAAGATCCCTTTCCACGCCTTTAGGCGTATCTGGCATATGGGAAGAGCGCCTATATTTTTACAGACCATCAGCACTCGGTGGGTAATGTGGTCAGCATTACGCCGGCTGTCTTTACTTTCCCAGGACAGCTCATCCTGGTACCCATTTTAGGCTGGGTTAACCTGCGATGACCCGTACCATGATAAAAATCCACGCAGCCAGCAGTGGGTTTCGATCGCGGTACGCTGGATTGCGAGTCGGACTCGCAAAGCCTAAGCCACGGACGCCGCGACCTAGCAAATGCTCCGTGGTATTATTGCCAGTTGTACTGTATTAATGATCTTTCTATGCTGGGGCTTTGGCCTCTGGCCCGTGACAATTAATATTTTCAAAATTATGGCCTCAAATAAGTCATTTGAACTGACCTGTTGTGAAAAGGTGACTAAATGGGGATATTTCCTCTGAAGTCAGAGAGCATCTGCCTAGGATGCAAGAAATCTTCAGGCTGGCAAGCCATTGGGTTACTACAGCTCCCAGCCTAAACAAAGCGCATGTAAAATACCTTCTCCTACTCCTTCACAATCTCCTCCTCCTCCTTCTTCTTCTTCTTCTTCTTCTTCTTCTTCTTCTTCTTCTTCTTCTTCTTCTTCTTCTTCTTCTTTTTCTTCTTCTTCTTCACTTTCTCCAAAAACCTTATCAAAGTGTTGGGGGATGATGTAAGTACCTTTTGTGTGCTCTCTCCAGTGTGTTACATTTCAGTAAGTGTATTACTTATACCATTGTTTTATATTCTGCATGGTTTCCCCTTGCTCTAAGATTTAGAGAAGACATAAAACAGTTCAGGTGACCACTGTGTTTACCTGGTTCTTCTGCCTCAACACAAGGACATTGGTCATCTTCCCAAAGGGCAAGCCAAGCTGGACAACATCTGTTTCCCCAGCCTCAAGTGGGAGGTTTCGAACATGGACCACTCGTGAAGGATGGCTAGTGGAGCCATCTAATTTAGCCTGTACAGACAATTTGAAATGCAGAGACATAAAACATATATATCTGTCTGTCTGTCTGTCTGTCTGTCTGCCTACTTGTCTCCCAGTTGATCCATCTGCCCATCAGACTGACTGCCGGCCTGTCTGGCTATCGGTTAATAAAGGTATACATCTGTCAGTCTTAGTCTGTTTGTCCATTTGTTAATCTATGTGTGCCTGTCTCCTATCTGTCCATCCATCTGTCTATGTCTGTCTGTCATCCATCAGTCTATGTCTGTCTGTCTACCCATCTGTCCATCCATCAGTCTCTCTGCTTGTCTATCTGCAAGTCTGTCCATCCATCTATCAAACACTCAATTGTCTGACTGTATATCTGTCTATCTATATGTCTAATGGACAGGACTAAATTAGTATACACTTGTTCAACAGATAGACAGCGGGTTTTGTGAGCTAGTGCTTCCTACGATACACCTCTTCGAACCTAATGGATCAAGAGATATGTTATGTACTTTATTTTCAAGCAAGACAACTCACTGCATATAGTCAAGGCTCTATTGAGGTATGTGCAACATGTGCAGCTAAAGGGGTTGGCAAAATATAATTAGTATATAATTAGTGTTTTAATCACTTTGAAATTCGCATCTGTAAATGATAACAGAGATGGCGAAGTTTAGCTGAGTGAACAAGGGTGTAACATAAATGATTGCACAAGGGCGTCATGCATACTAAATATGGCCCTGCATACATTTATAAACAAACATACATTTATAAACACTTATTCCTATGTAACTCAAAATTCTCTAAAAAGCTAAATACACCACCAACAACAACAACAAAAGCAACCCAGATGTATTGAAAAAGGCGAGAGCTTGAAGACAACGTACAACAAACACCAGAAAGAGACAGGCATCATATGTTATGAGAACAAGGAAACTGGAACATGTTGTGACCCCTGAAAATTTCTGTGGAAAAAGAGAGATACAGGAAGACACACAGAGAGGTAGGCACACAGACACACAAGCTGAAGGTAGGCAGATAGACAACACGTAGACAGACACACAGACTTGAACCTACCTTCTTAGCGTCGGCGATGTCTGTGGGTGAGTGTATGGGACTGAGCCCATTTCCGTTAGCGAGCAAAGTAACGTGAGACATGAGTTCTTCACTGCCTCTCTGAAACACACCAATATCACATCGTGAGAAGGTAGCAGATGTTGCAACAGCATAAGCAGTAGTAGCAGCAGCAGTAGTAGAATAGTAGAAGTAGTATTAGTAGTAGCAGCAATAAGAACAGTAGATGCAGTAGCAGTTTAGTTGTTGTAGCGACAGTAATAGTAGTAGCAGCAATAACAACAGTAGTTGCAGTAGCAGTTTAGTTATTGTAGCGACAGTAATAATATTAGCAGCAATAACAACAGTAGTTGCAGTAGCAGTTTAGTTGTTGTAGCGACAGTAATAGTAGCAGCAGCAATAACAACAGTATTTGCAGTAGCAGTTTAGTTGTTGTAGCGACAGTAATAGTAGTAGCAGCAATAACAACAGTAGTTGCAGTAGCAGTTTAGTTGTAGCGACAGTAATAGTAGCAGCAGCAACAATAGACCCGCTCTGTTCTTGTCAGACACCAGTTAATTAATGAATGTCTGCAGTTTACAAAAGTTCTAACATTAGGTGTCAATTTCCTGGAGATTTTCCTGTGACTGCAATCCGGACTCCTTTCGGCTGTCTTAGCCCAGCACCGTCATTCTTCTATCAGTTTCTTGGATACTCGCATCTTAGTGTATCGGTAGCTGAATCACTGTTTGACTGTGCCAAGTCACTGTCGCTTCTGTCCATTCTGTCCGCAATTTCATTGCCTTCCAATCCACAGTGACCTGGAATCTATTGCAGTATAGATTATTCTACTGAGGAGCCTAAGTGAATCAGCTGTTGCGTCAAGTCTACATACTGAGTGTCTTTTGTGTTAATAACTGCTTGTAGAACTGACTGTGGAATGGAGAGTGCTAAAAAAGGACTTCATTGAATATTAAGAAAACGGAAGTAGTGCTTATATCAAAGAAGAAGAATAATGAGAAGAGAGACATTAGAGAACATCGTAACAACTGGAAAGATCAGTGGAAAAGGGGGTACAGGCAGACCAAGAGAGATGATGCTGGATGGGTTAAAACGATAGCATGGAGGAATATCATCAAGAGAGCTTTTCCAGGCAAACAGGGATTGTGATCTGTGGAGACGCTTGAGCGCCTACGCCAGTTGGCAGGGCACATGATGATGACGATGACGATGAGAACTGACATAGCACCAGTCAGAAAGACCATTATTCTACATGCAAACTTGATAAAAGATAGCACAAACTGGCGCGTTAACGAAACATATTCTTGGCAAACCATTCGACAAACTTATTTGAAAAGGTAAGCATTATTACATGTGGAAAATTCGGGCACCCTGGCATATGAGTTAGGCAGACACAAAACGGGCCACGGTGACCCGGACAAATGACGGAAATATTTGGGGAGACTGAATCTGCCAGAGTGCTTTAACGTTCATTATTTTATAATCAGTGAGTGTCATTTTTAAAAAATAGGTGTGGGTGGGAACTCATACTCCTTCACCCCCCCCCCGTTACAAATTAGGAAAACACTGGGGGGGGGGGGGGGTCCTTCCCCCCCCCCCAAATCACGGCCTTCGCGCCGCTTTACTAATTTCCTAGGCAACAAATCAGGTGGGGGGGGGGGGGGGGGTTGCTCAGATCCATAAGTTCTCCCGCCCAACACACACAATTAAAAATGAGGGGGTGGGGCGGTGTTGAAGCACTGCAATAGTTGTGAAGGGGGATTAAGAAGTTAAGATTCCCCCTTTAACCTTGCACAAAAATTATATTTTACAGTACAGTATATGTTTATACTTTTCATGTTATTTCAAAAATATTACATTTTTGTCATTCATATTTTTATTGTTATTAGTATTCTTATTATGATTATTATTGCGTTGACCGGCAAATATGCATTATACACATAATACCATACATGTAATCATATGAAATGTATGAACAAGACCAGTGAGTCCGCTTACCCTCTTATTGGGATGTTGGGGGGGGGGGGTGGGTGACGCAGATCCCTCAGTTCCCGGTGCCTATGATATCATGAATATTGTGTAGGAAGGTGAATAGGTAGGTAGGTAGGAGTGCAGGCAGCTGGATAGGTATGTGTGTAGGTAGGCAGGGCTGTAGGCTGGTCGGTATGTGTGTAGTACGACATGTCGGTAGATAGTTAGGTATGTAGATATGTAGAAAGACGGATGTATATGTTGGTAGGTAAGTGGTCTCGAGGTGTATGAGGGAGGGAGGGAAGAAGTTAGAATTATAGACCTAACTATTTTTATCAGAAAAAATTGAGGATTTTTTTAAAATAAGAAACATCCCCGTGTGGGTTTCGAGGTCCCATTATGGAGAAAACAAGAATAGACCCACTGTCTCCCCAACAAGCATGTCGTATGTGTCGACTAACTAAGAACGTTCTTCGAAATCGCGGTGCAGTTATCTGAAAGGTAAGGAAGCAACAATGTGAATACAAATGTCCGATCTGTAAAACAGCTGTGCATGCAACACTCAGGTTTTAGAACAAGACTAAAGTCCAGAGGTGGACGAGCAACCATACATTTCCGCCGGAGTTACAGCCGATGAACGTTAAGAAAGGACAAAAGAAAGAAAGAAAGAAAGAAAGAAAGAAAGAAAGAAAGAAAGAAAGAAAGAAAGAAAGAAAGAAAGAAAGAAAGAAAGAAAGAAAGAAAGAAAGAAAGAAAGAAAGAAAGAAAGAAAGAAAGAAAGAAAGAAAGAAAGAAAGAAAGAAAGAAAGAAAGAAAGAAAGAAAGAAAGAAAAAAGAAAAAAAGAAAGCTAAATTCATAATGGCAAAAACATATTAAAAGAACACTGCCAAATCACAAATTATTAGTTTGCTGCGACTAACAAGGAACAATTAAATATATTTACACTATTTAAAACCAAACACACTTTCCGCACACAAAATCACAAGTATGTGCCACAAACAACAGCAAGATACAATTCCCCGTCGACGGTCAAAGAAGCAGAGAAGGGCAGACACTAGAACGTATCCATTCCGATAGTCATGTCTGACATTGGTTAACATTTTCCCTCGTGAACTTTTCGTTGCACAGTTTGTTACACAACTCACCGCTTTTCAACAGGTAACATTTGGAAAGTATGAATTAGATCAAAAAAGTACAGACTTGCCCTCCGGAGCTAAGCGGGTGATAAAGGGATAGAAAGAATCAATGAGGAGGCATGAAGAAAGGAATACAGCATTAATGAGAAAGTAAAAGAACAGAATACTAGAAGTTTCTGGTGTGATCGGGATTACCGTATTTGTGCAAATAGACGCCACATCATCATTGTTTTGTTTTTTTAATTAGAGTAGGATGTGGTTTTTGCATGAGGGCTGGCGCAGTGGCTGATACTAAGACATTGAAACTGTCATAGGATTATAGGTGCTACCGTTTTATGTGGCTTCTCTTCTAACCTTAGAAGACTGGTAGTTGTAATTCTTGTACGAAAAAAATATATAGCAAAATACTCTATGAAAGTTAGTTGCGTATCTTTCGCAAAAATGAAAATATGTCCCGTTTGCATCGGGACCGACCCATTTTTTCGGTGTGTCCTGGCCGTTCCGTCAGTATTTAAAAAAAAAAAGCCAACTGTCTCGTTTTTTACAAATCTAGGAATTAGCTCTAGACAAGAACATACACATACAATTATATATGTAGACCTTATTAGATTTAGCAGCTTTAAGATACTTTTCATGCGACAATGGGTCGTGTTTTAATACCACTGTGGAGCGAATTATTAACCCTATCAGTCCAGCGAGGTTGGAAAAAAATACATTTTTAAAAAGACGGGGGGGGGGGGTAAAGGTACTTGCTTAGGATGTCCCGTTTTCAACTTAAAATTGTCAAAGGGCGTCCCGTTTTTAGCTCAAAATATTATAGTCACCCTTCACAGAGTGTGGCAAACGAACCACAGCATGTGTTATCTGTTTATGGTTTGTCTAGGAAATTTTCTTATCAGTAGTTTGCCACAGCTCCGTATAATGTTTGCGCTCATTTCATGGTTGCAATTGTCCTCCGTGTCTCCAGCTGAATCAAACGCAAAATGTTTGAATTATCTAGTTCCTTTCCTAACCCTGGGACTATAAACATTGGACGCTAGAGCCCAACCCACCTGGGTTTCCTCTTGGATCAGTGCCCCCTGGTGCCAGATTTGATCCTGTGGGGCCGCCAGGAGATCGACCTGTACCTGGCCCAGATCCCGACAGACAACTACGATGACATTTTTGTGCTTTTGAAAAGAAAAACAAATGAAAAATGCCACAATAAACACTTTCTAAATATGGAGAAAAAAATAATTAACGTTGATTATTAATGTCAGAACCTTCTTTTTATTCTTAAAGTCCATAACATGTGGCAATGGTAGTCATGTCCATCCACAACCTTTTGTCTTGTGCACATTCAATCAATTCTGATCCAGATGACCTCCATGTCATGATGTCAAACTGTCCAGCATCTTTTCTCTCAGTCTGACTCTGCCTCTCTTTCCCTCCAACTTTCCTACTGTCACGACGTACTCCGCTGTTCTCCTTCTCATCACATGACCAAACAACACAGATTGTCTCTTTCTGATGTGGGCAATCAGTTCTCCTCGTGAGCACAGAACCTTATTTAGAATAATACGGTAGGGAAGTGCACGTTCCAAACTACGACGAATACGTCCCGGGTAGACCAGCATAAAATCCACACTCAACGATCTACTGGCATCACGTGACAAGACTGGTCGAAACTTTGACAAACACAAGACCGGGACAATTACGGGAATTACCGGGAAAACACTACAAGGTCAGGAAAAACCCGGCGATACAATCGGTAAATAGTGGAATGACACAACAAAATCAAAAATTCATATTTGCTTGCAATTATGCGGACATATTAAAAAATGTTTGTCGACTTACTGTGTTGTCTGAGTTACTGAATGTAGGTTTTATTGTTTTTAAAGTTTAGAGGGGAAGCGTGTTGGGGAAGACAATGTTAAACGTGGGAGGACAATATCGAGTGATTGTCTAGAAACAGTGTGTCAGAGTTCGGCTTTTAGAGGCGGGAGGGGTGGGCG